TTCAGGAATTCCTTGATACTCAAAGAATTATGCGATGCAATTGAGCCATTCGGTCGGGTCATCTTCGAAAAAGGTAGAAAATTCCAACTTGGCGAGTTTGGAGAAGAATGGTTGTCGACCACCGTCATTTCTCTTAGCTCCTTCGTCGCGATTTGGTCGCGTTCCTCCATTTCAGTTTGGGGTATTGTAGCTTGAGCCTTCACGGTTGATTAACAGAGTCTCTGTTAATCGTTTGAGGGTATCCTCCATTTGGTGAAGTTTATCAACGACTCCAAGCTCCATCTGCCTGAAGCTGTTATGCAGTCATTTGACACTTTCTTTTAAATTCTCAATCCTTTCCTTATGAGACCTGGCTTTGATACCAAAATGATAGATGCTCAAAAAACACAAGAAGGATTGCAAACGAAAACTTCTATTTTTGGAATAGAAAAACCACAATTTTCTTGTTAATTAATATTTGACTCATCCATAATCTGATAGGGCTTTAAATAGAAAGGGAAACACAACTTCTCCCTGCTATTTAGGGAGCACAGGGGCTAGTAGCAACCAAATAATCTCAACAAATCAAAAGATAAGATAATGGTAGAAATAAATTAAAAAATAGATGATAAGTTGATGCTAAATAGTTAACCGAGTCTTAAGGAAGTTCTGTTTGCTTCAACGATACCAAAATCAGAGATATTTGAGATTCTTGACTGGAATCCTTGGTGATCTTCTAGTTAGATCAGTGCGACCACTAAATAATACAAATATGATGACTTGATTATTATATATTTAAAATTTTGGTCGTTTTCAGTTATAAGTTAATTGAGTAATTTATTTAAAAATTAAAAAGATACAGGTACTTAATTACATAATAAAGAGTTTATGAACAAAAAGTAAAAATTATTAACTCCTTTTTGTAATTACTTTGAAAAAGAAATTATTCCAACTTACTCGAGTTTTTGGTTCAAAATTGAAGTATAGAATTTGGTTGAAGCTTCTCAAAACTGTTGTATTCCAACTTTTCCTTTTCGTCAACATCTCAAGAAGCACGTATCAGAGATTTGCTCAAATCAAATCAGCACAATGAAATCTAAACTGAAAAAATGAATGTAAATATAAGATTAAATTTTTTATTTAAGGGAGTTGGTACAGATCAGGGTGGAATTAACTCATTGAAGACCAAGAGTAAACGAGTTTATATCGTCTGCCATGGGGGATATCCATCAAGTAAAGACCATCGTCTCTGGCAGACCAGAAGCAGTTCTTATAATCACAACTCTCCCAGAGCCCGTAATCTCTCGTAAACACTACGTAGCTTCCACGATCTATGTTGCCCCAGTTCACATCGCACCAAAACGTCGTCGTTCCGAACAAGCTCACCTGGAAACTGAAGCTGAAATCACCACCCACCGCCAAGGCATGCTTCCCCAGATCATCGTCTTTGGACCGGCAATGAAGGTTGAGGACATTGTTGGGGCTCAAGTTATTGGTTATGTCAACATGGTATCTTTTCCCACTGCACTGGTTCACCGCCACCACCGTCATCACCACCAACTTGAAGAACAACCCTCTCATCATTTTCATTAACTCCCTCTCCCCTCTTCGCTTTTATTTTTAATTTATATGCTCTTTTATCATTTCCTCTCTCCTTGTTAGACTGGTCAAACTTCCACATGTATCAAAGTAAATATCTTTATTTCACTTCATTATTGTTGTTATGTTTTTGGAGTGGACTGTTACGACATTAAATTCTTTTTGGATTTATTCGGATTCTGGAGATTTCATCTACTATTTTCCTTTAATCGACTCTTCGTTTTCTGATTAACCCACCCATTTCTTTATCCATAAGCCCGAAGCCCAATTTGGGTTTAATGAGCCTGGACTAGATTTAAAGTTATTTGGGTTTCGTGGGATTCAGAATTTAATGGCGTTAACGCACTAAAGCAAGGAAGAATGGCTTAATGGGTCTTTACCGACGATTTCGAAGTTGCAGGTAAAAATGGGGGGATTTGAGTGTAAAATCCCATCCCTGCACCTAGCTTGTTAGGTGTAAGTAAAGGTGAAGGTAGTAATCTCCTCATCGGACTTTATTTATTCAATTATATATGTTGACAGTCCTGGTCAATTAGATGCAATAGGTATCCCTACTTATTAATTCTCTCTTTTCTTTTTACCAAACATCATTAAATATTCTGTCCTTCATCAATTAAACCCACCTTCTGTTTGGTTGCTAGGAAACCTTAGAAAAGAAAACCAAAGAACTCATTTTCGTTGGAGCCCATTTCAAAATTTTTCTTATCATTAACCTTCTTCTTTCCATAATTAATAAAAAAAAAAAACACCTTGAATGACCACGTTAATTATTAGGTTCAACCTCAGTTTGCAAATTGATTAGATTAACGAACGAACACTAATTTGGACATGTTTATGAATCATCCTAAAGTTGCGTAACAAATACTTGGAGCTATGAGAATGAATCAATATGATTTTTTTTTTCTTTATATATAAATGTCAATTACCAGTTGAACGTTCAGTCATGTATGTATGATCTGTCTTTATGTATCCGTGCATATATATAAACGCAAGATATTAAGAGGGAGAAAGAAACCTGTCAGTTCATGAAAATGGAAGAATGGAAGAAAAATAATCCGTAATATTCAACTGATATACGAGGGCGAAGTATTTCAGTAGATGAAACTAAAGCTTAATTAAGAACAAATAAGACCTTCAAAGTAAAAGGTAAAGCAAAGCAGAGAACATGATAAACACTGGAAACCCTTTTTAAACTTTAAATTAAGTACTGATGATATATAAGTAGTCACCACTTCAAGGGAAAGGAAGGACACCACTCCCACTACCAACTCCACCACCAACACCACCACCAACTCCGCCACCTGCACCTCCACCCAACCCACTTGCACCGCCGAGCCCCCCAACACCTCCTAGTCCACCAAGACCACCAGCACCTCCCAACCCAGTTACCCCACCAACACCACCTACTCCCCCAAATGGCAGTCCGCCAGCACCCAGTCCTGAGAAGCCTCCAATTCCGCCGTAAGTGAGAAAGTTCTTTTGGTCATCAAGACCAGTTGCTGCATCACTTGGCACGTTTCTTGCACTAGCATGAACCACTGCCAGTGCAACAACCAGCACAACCTGAGCATACCACCTAATTCCCATGGTTTTCTCTCTCTCTCTCTTAACTGCTTTTTCTCTCGACTCACTCTCTATCGATCACTCACTATCACTGTGATCTTTGTACTTGGAAAATTTGTGTTATCGGGACCTCTTTTTAAAGGAAACTTGAGCGTTGGGAGGGTAGTTGCGAGTAGTAAATGGAGATAAATGCGGGCGCAGAGGTTCCCCGGGCATCGCCAACACAACGCAATCGCATTTCAGTGGATTACTTTAGATTTGAGGATTCGGAACTGATTTTCTTGTCTCTCTTTTCTATCGATTATCCAATCCATTATTCATGGAGATGATATTTTATACTAAAATCCGTTTAAACCCATCTAAATCTAATTTAATACTGTTATTTCTGTAAAAATTTGACTCTTAAAACAGATTCGGTCAAAAACATTTAAAAAAAAAATTAGATTTATTTCTAGTAAAATTCATCCTGAACCTGTTATGTTGTTATCATTAGTGATCCATTTAATTAATTAACATAATTATTTAATTAATCAACCTGTTTCGAACACAAGCTACCTAGCTCTACACATGGAACTATTTTCTTAAAAAAAAAATTAAAAAAAAAATCTTAAGAATGAACTATTTTAAATCGGAACCACAGATTTGAAATTTTACGTTTAGAACCCTTCTTTAATGTTCCTTTTTAATTTGAGTTGAATTTTTACAAGTAAAACACGTGGTATCCAATGTTATAATAAGAAAAAAAATGAGCTCATATAAAATTGGAATAGTTATGGTGCTAATTTTGAATGAGTTGGCTGATACAGGATGGTAGATAGATATATAAAAGCTGGTTATTCTATATATCTATATATATATATATATATATATATATACATGTACATGTATTGGTACAAGCTGGTTGGTTGGTTGGTTGGTAGACGTGTACATTTATTAAGTAACACACCAATAACTTTTGGTCAAATTTTATTGCATGAATCAGTTTAAGCTGGCTGTGAGGTCCCATTCGTTACTTCCTCATCCCCTGAATACGCCTATTTGGCATCTTCTAACATAACACAATAAAACTATCTACTAATAAAAATATATATATATATATATATTTTATCTAAATTTAAAGTTTATTAACCATGAAATTACTAAATTTATTGTAATGATGCTGTAAAATTTAAAAGAAAAATAATTAAATAATAGTGTTTTTAAATTTAAAGTTAAAAGAATAAAAAATTTAAAAACTATTCAGACCAGGAATTACGTATACTATTGTTTAGTTATCGTTTTATTCTTTATTTTAAGGTGGAAAATATTTTATAAGATCTTGATGAATGCAAATACATGTGTGTGTATGGATATGTATGTGTGTGTGTGTGTATTCCCTCTTTTGGTCTAATAATTTTGCATGATGTACTATTTTTTTTTTCATTAACTTCGAGATTTTAATGTATAATTACAATCTGTATTAATTTATGATGATATATTTAGATTGATTTTTTTTAGTAAAAAATTATGTGTATTGATAATAATACAACTAATAATAATATAAAATATTGTGAATATGCAGATGGGCAACTCTCTTAACACAAACCAATACCTTATCATGAATCTTGCTAAAATATAATTAATTTATTATTTATATAACTTGATATAGAGTCTATATATATATATATATATATATAGATATGATAAAATGAGAATTTGTATATATATATATATATAGATACAGTTCTTTATTTTATTTTTGGATTATAAATTGCACTAATTGGTTATTTTATATATAACTCAATTACTCATAATTTTTATTTGTATTTCAGAAACGGAGCGGTTGTAGCATTCACGACTAAAATCCGTCACAACGAAACGTTAATACAACGGAAGAATGAATTATTACTGACTTTAAAAAGAAAACTATTGTACGTACAAAACGTAGTAGACACTCCCAAACATATGATTTGTAAAAATTAAGAAACACATCCTCAAACACAACTGATTAAACTAAAACGACATTCATACTGACAACAAAAGAAAGCTCGAAAAGAGATCAAGGACAGCTTCCACATCCACCGCCAAGGCCACCAGCGCCCCCGAGACCACCAACTCCACCACCCAAACCTCCACCTCCGCCTAACCCAGATCCACCACCGAGTCCACCGAGCCCACCGAGTCCACCACCACCGAGACCACCAAGCCCACCAAGCCCACCGAGTCCACCCCCAAGACCGGTGCCAAGACCTCCGCCTACTCCAGCGAAGCCTCCAACACCACCGAATGCAACAAAGTTCTTTTGGTCGTCAAGACCGGCTGCTTTGGGCTCGGGTCTGGCAGCTGTAGTGGTGTGAACAACCACAAGAACCACAACCAGCATAAGGCACCATCTCGCCATTTCTGTATTCTCTTACGCAGCTAGCACAGAGAGTGTAAAGTCTGCGAGGGAATGTGTGTATGGCGATGGAAGTGGATGGCTTTTAAAGAGGAGTGATGTGGGCGGGGGCAGTTGCCAGAATTGAATGTGACTCACATCATGTTACCCTCTGCATTAAAATTGGAGGTATGCTCTCATCCGTATTACTCATGAACATACATACCTCGCTATGCCAGCCTTCTTTTTTTTTTTTTTTCTTGCTTAGAGAAATCTTTTTTGTTATTATAATTATTTCTTCTTTTAGTTCATTTTAATAAAAATAATTAAAATCATAAGAAAATATTAATTCGTTATAACTTCAAAAATAACTCACTGTCATTGTATCTCAATTAATACATTAATAAATTAAATCATTATGGTAATGAATCAAATACAATGCTTATCAATAATAATAATTAAATTTTGATATAATTAATTTCAATCTTGAATAAAATGTCAAAATAATTTATAATTTTATTGAGAAAACTTTAATTTTTATGTTTGTGTCTATGTGAATGATTAATTTTATAGATTTTATTAGAAAAAAAGATTACTCATATATTATGCATATTAGCTACTAATAATATTAAATTCATATATACATATGTAATACAAAAAATACTTACTTTAATAACACACAAAATATAAATTTTTAAAAATATATATATATAAGAAAATTGAGATAACCTTTTGCAATAAAAATATTTGTAGAAATATAAAAAAAAAAAAAAAAAAGTAGATTTTGCCATAAAGAATATGCACTCTACTTTTTTTTTTTTTTTCTTTTTCCTAAAAATAAATAGATTAGTTAAAAGTATTTTGTTCCTTAATTTACTATTAATGAAAACATAAACGTTGATTAAATCTGTCGTTCAATTAATTATTCTCTATATAAGACAAAATTAAAGACAATTTGTTGTCGCCATGAAGAAAACAATCGTTGATTTCTGGACCACGATCAACATCCAAATCTATATTAACTTACTTTATTTATTGTATAGTTAATTATATGTCACTCTCTCTTTCATTAATCAGAATAATAATTATCTAAACGTAATTAATTAATACTCATAAATCCTACAATTAAAAAAATATGATTACTTTAAGTTAAATTTTAAAAATACAACAAATTCGCATTTACTGTAATGCTGAAATTGCATACCACATTGTTCTGACTCTTACACTGACTAATTCAAAAGAATGTGTCAGCTACAGCAGCCAAAAAAAAAGTATATGAGAAATACTTAAATTTAATTATTTATTTACGAAAGGTCTGCTGTTATATATATATATATATATCTATACTCTCAATACATAATTATGCACAATTAAAAATAAAAATAAAAATTAATTGCGAATTAAAGCTGACGTGTAATTTTTCTATGACATCAAATAATGGAGGAGAATGCACCGATGCCATTAATTCAGTCACACAAAAAAAAAAAAAAAAAAAGTGAAACTTATCGGTTGGACCACCAATTTTATGTTAGAGGCAAAAAATTATGAGTGTAATAATGAATGGCAGCACAAGTTGTTAAAATTTATAGTTCGGGAATTTACATTTTACCATATGGAAGTAATTTCCTTCACACATGCTCTCGTGATCATGGTAACTTTTTAATTAATTATTAGCATATATTTTTCTTTTATTTTCAAGATTTTAGTACATACATAGTTAAATATTTATTTTTTATTTTTATAAATGATTATAGATATAGAAGTTACATTAAAATATATATTATTAGAATTAAATGAGAATAAAATAAAAATAAATTTAAAAGAGATGAGAAGAAAAATAGATACCGATTTGAAGGTTTTAGTTTAAATTTTCAGCAAAAGAATAATAAAATATTACGATAGATTATAATTAATATTTATTGATTTTTTTTTTATATTAAAAGGTAAAATCTCTACATATTAGATTTAACACTTATGAATTTTGAAATAATATTTAAGTTAAATTAAACAATAATCCTATAAAAGAAACACCAGCAATATGTAAATTTGTATAATGTATACTACATATATAGAGTAACACCAAGTAGAATTTCATTGTACATGAAAATTTCTCAATGTTACAATTATTCTTACCATTACAGTTTGAATTAATGGAGTGCAAGAAATCACATATCAAAACATACAGTACATTTGAACTGGAAACACAAACAATCAACCTCGCAACACAAATAATTAACCATAAGTAACTGACCAACTTTTAAGCCCAAAGCAAGACAAGATACTAATTTATTAAGTCCCATGCATGCATGCATGCACGCACGCATGACGAATCAAGGACAGGTTCCGCAACCGCTCCCACCCCCAATTCCCCCACCCAGACCTCCAGCAGTACCGCCAAGTCCACCACCTAGTCCACCAACACCACCGGTTCCTCCATAGCCACCAAGACCACCGAGGCCACCAACCACTCCAGCGTAGCCACCCACCCCACCAAAGGCAAGAAAGTTCTTCTGGTCATCGAGACCTTTGGCGTCGTCCTTAGGCAGGGTTCTAGCAGCTAAAGTGGCGTGAACCAGAATGGCTAAAGCCAGCACAACCATCAAGCACCTCTTTATCTCCATGTCCACAGCCTGCTCTTTCTTAACACAATGTACTATATTGTATGTATTGTATTGTATTGTATTGTATTGCTGTACTACTGCATGCCGGTCTTGGCCATCTTCCTCCTTTTAAAGGCAATTTCGAATGCTGGGGGCAGTTGCCGGTGTTAAATGAATTAAACGTCAACTTCGTATCAGCTCATCTTCTGCATTAGAAATCTAATAAATGTAGTATTGTGATTATATTATAACACACGTCCAATTAAGTTATAATCAACATTGAGATTTTGAGACCTTAATTAATTAAAAAAAATTAAAGAAATTCGGGTGTCTCAAATTTTACTTCTTTTAATTTTGTATTTTTGATTAAATTCCTATTTTTAAAAAATATTTAATTTAAGTTATATATAAAATTAACCTTAAATTAATAAAGTCCACAATTTATTTAAATAAAAGGATACTGAGGTCCATATACGTTACATAACCGTGGGTTTTAACATATGCAGTGTTGATTATAATTAATTCATTTAGGAAAAATGTAGTGAGAGCCGACTTCAGGTTAAATATATATATATATATAATGTATATTTGAATAAATATGCATTTTCGGAATGTTATTATATAGCCTTTTGTCATTAATTTGGGGCGGGGACCATGAGTTCCTCTAATAAGACATACCTTTGGTGTTTAATTGTAATCTTACGAACTTTCATTTAATTGGAAATTTTATCATTTAGTACTACAAACTAAATCATAATTTTCAATCTTATTCGTTTAATTAAATCAGCTATTTAATTTAAAATTATACAATTCTAAAAGACTATTAGATTGTTTTATTGACCCAATTAAAAATTGTGTTAAAATTTGATCATAAATATATTATGTTTATTTTATTTTTTTTAACGAGAAAATCTAAGATGACAGGATTACAATTAAATGTTTTTTAAAAATAATTATTTTTATTTATTAATTAAATTAATAATTTAATTTAATTTTTAATATCTAAATATAACTTAACTATGTAATTTTTATTATTAAAATATATTAAAAAATTAATATTTAAAACAAATAAAAAAAAATATTACAAATCAAATTATAATATTAAAAATTAAATCAAAATAGGCATCAAATTTTTTTTTTAAAATTAATTTAATAATTTTGCATATATACAGTAGCTGGCATGATTCACGCACGCAATACATAATATTGTAGGTGAAGAAACCATAAATTGCATATGCGTTTGTGTGTGTATACATATAAAAATTAACCAAACTTACATTTTCTCATAATTTAATTGCACATGGTAGTCATAAATATACGTAATGGACGAGACACACCAACAACAAGTGAGCTATTGCTGGAGGTTGTAGTCTGAGGAGAAAATTATTAGAATTACTATGAATGTAATTAGCTGAACGGTAGAGAGTTAGGTATTAGGTTGCATTTGGGATGAGGATGAAATGGGGTCAACCCAGTTAAATGCTGTGTCAGATTGTTTGCTGGGTTTATTTAATTACCATCTTCCTGTATCAACTACACCCATCTACCCCCAAATTTTTTCCCATCCATATTTTCTTTTTTAACTTCCTCTCTGTGTATTATATCACCAACCACATGCACGTACCCAACCAGGTGGACATGAAAATAAAGTTGTGGCCACCCAAATTAACTCGATCAAATCGGACCCGATCACCGACATGACTTAAAAGATCTTCCAACCCCAGTTAGAAACAAACCCGACCCGACCTTACCTTCAACATGGCTAGAGGAGATGTAGAGGAAAAAGATACGTGTGAATCCCAAACCAAACACAATCTGAGAGAGTAGATTTCGTCCTGTAATTAGAGTTAATGTTTGAGATTCTGCCAAGATGGAAATTTTTGCCTCCGAGAATCCCTCTCACCCATCAAATAAAATACTACTATGTGTATGTATTCGGCGTACATATATATATATATGATTATATTAAAAAGTATATTATACAGGTATACTTTAAAAATTATCGGTGCCCATGACAGCAGATTCAACAATGGGTATTGTGGCAGCAAAACGCATCTTCATCTACTTTTCATGCATGGCAATCCTTGTGAGTTCAGCAAAATCAGGAGGTGAAGTGGGATTGATGGGCTTTGTAAATGCTGGAGGGTGTAAGGAATTCCCAGATTGTTATAAACACTGCATCGCCGTTGGATATCCTTTAGGTGGTGCCTGTCAAAAAACTGACGACGGTCCCGATGATGCTTGCTTCTGTAAGTTTCCCGATCATCATCTATACAAATTCGACAACCAACCGCAGACAACACCGACTTTTTCCTCAAGATTTTATCATTAAGTAATGTCATCTTCCATAATTAAATAAACAAATAAGTTTAAAGTAATTATCTTTTATTGTTATTGGTAAATATATGAATAAATTATTAAATTATTTTTTAAATTTTAATATTTATTATAATTTGATTCATAATTTTTTATTCATTTAAAATATTCAGTTTATTTATTTTTAACTAAAAATAAGATATTTAGACCATATTCATATAAAGAAATCAACATATATTTATATCTGATAATTAATTTAAGTATTTATATAATTAAACATATTTCCTTAGTTCTAATAGAAGATTCAAAAGAAAAACTGTTTGACATTTTTATCTTTTAGAAAATTATTTAGACATGTGGAATGAGGTCGGGGAGGTCATGTTCGGGTTTTTTAATCAAATTTATGGATTTATATTTGGATTTATTATGTATATAAAAATTATCGAATTTAATTGTATCTATTTAAATAATATAATACAGTTAAAAATATTTTAAATCTTAACGCATTAAATTAAAGTGTAAACTTTATTTTATATGCGAAAATTAAAGTGTAATTTTTAATTTTGTGATGGATAAAATTAAAAATAATAAAAAAAATTAAGAATATAAATAAACAATTATGATTCACAGATTATATGTTAAGATTTTTATATACTTTCATTCTATCACTAGAAAATAGAGAGTGTGAGAACTCCAAATGATCAATGTATTGATTTGAAAGATTTATCACGTAATCAATGTATTGATTTGATTTTGTGATGGATAAAATTAAAAATAGTAAAAAATTAAGAATATAAATAAACAATTATGATTCACAGATCATATGTTAAGATTTTTATATACTTTTATTCTATCACTAGAAAATAGAGTGTGTGAGAATTCCAAATGATCAACGTATTGATTTGAAAGATTTATTACATGACGTACAAATTTTTTCTGTTATGAATTCAGTTACGTTTCCGTTTACAGATCTAATCTCAATTATTCAATATAAATATGTGTTTTAAATTTAGTTCTAGTTTATTTTGAAATCTCGACAAGTGAGACTGACAAATAATTAACACTCTGAACAATCGGAACAGCCAGATCAGCCCAATACAAACTCAACCCGGCCCATTAATATTTGCTGAAAAAATCTGCCAGGTGGATATCTGCGAATGGGATTCTAGTTTAATTGTATTGGTGAATAATGTTGAAGAAAATCACTGAATCTTGGATATAACATTTTTTTTTTTCCATCAGAGCAGATTTTGAGCCATATTGAATTTGTTCATTAACCTAATTTGAAAATACATACATCCCCCTTGTGATATAGCAGTGCGTGTATACATAATTCTGTTTAAAATTGATATTTAATTTAATTACCATATGAATGAAAATAAATCAGTCGAGATAAAGGTAAAAAGATCTGGTAACGTTTTTCATGGGTATGAAAATTAAATTTTTAATGGAGAATAGAGGAAAGTAATTAACGTTAATTGTGTATAAATATGTTTAATCTGGTTTGATTTTACCCAAGAGATTCATTTGGTAATTGGAAGTTGGAAACACAGACAATGGCCATCAACAATGCTACTCTCGTAAAACGCATCTTCATTTGTTTTGCATTCGCCGCCATCCTCTTGATGAGTTCAGGTCATTCTTTTTTTTTTTTTTTATATATATATATATGTGTTACATAATCTGGCATTGTGTGTGTGTATATATATGTATATATGTTTATGAGTTTAAATTAACTGAGAAGGTGTATATATATATATATATATATATATGTATATATATGCAGCAAGTGGTGAGGAAGAAGGATGGTTGGTTTACCAGGGCAAATGTGAGGACTTTCCAGATTGCGATAAGCACTGCAAGGAGGTGAAATATCCGCTCGGTGGATTTTGCAGGAAGCCTGCTCCTTCTTCAACCTTTCTTGCATGCTTCTGCAGAGCATGATTTTAATTTTTTTTTTTTTTTTTGTTTTAAACTCCGAAAAAAAAAACAAATCATCTTATTATAATTATTAATAAATTGATTTACAATTTTAATAATTGTTTATGGATATTCCTCAAATTCAAAAAATGTTGATTACCATCTAATTAATTGCATTTAAAGGTTGGATTAAATAATATTCAAATTTCAAACTATTAAGTTAATATTTTTGTTTAGATAAAATTAAAAAAAAAAGAAAAAAAGTATTTATATCAGAATAAGAATATTGCACAGTCCGGTTAAAAAAGAAATGGTTGAATCAGCTTTGTGGGTCCAACCAGGTTGTTGGTTTTTCAACTTGGTTAAAATAAAATAAAAATTTTGATCGAAAATGACCTGACATCATCATCGCACTGGCACCTATCACATTCGTCTATGCTGACGCCACCATTGTATGGACTTGAACACCACCATTTTCCCTTACTTTTTTTTGTTTTATGTATTCATTTGTAACTTAGCATATAAGAAATCTTTTATATATATATATATATATATATATAGTTCTATAAAGGTAAATTATGCTTTAGAAAATTAATTTCATGATTTTTTAAATGCACATATTAAATCATACCATAAAATGGTAAATTATTATATTAGTGTACATTTATTTTTAAATAAACAATTTAAAAACCCCAATTAATTTTTTTACTGTTATTATTCCAATTTTAATTATTTTTGTTCTTTATAAATTTCATTTACCTACTATTGTTTGGCTTATACATTTGCTTTTAATTTTAATTATTGTTTTATTATATAATTAGTATATTATTTTTTTAAAAAAATTATGAAATTCGAGGTTAATTATATTTTTATTTGCAGTTTTTAAATATTATTTTTATTATATTATTATTTATTGAATTTGTATATATTATTTAATTAAATAATTATGAATTTATTAAAAAATTTATCTTCTTATTTTTTTGGGATTGATTTAATGTAATTTTGAGAACATTATTACGTGAAATTCATGTTGAAAATTAATATTTGCAAATTAAGTTAATTATTCATCTTAAATTAATAATTAATGTGCACCCTCAGGCTTTGACCCTTTGATTGATAAGTTACTTGTGAAAATAACCGAGCAAAATCTGCCTTAATTACTGGGTCTACTTAGCTTTTATAAGAAAAACATTTTCAGCCACCAATAGGAGAGACGCAGAACGAACGCCCATTACCATCCACAACCAAATTTTAATGGTTTTCCCGGCCTTCAGTACTGCGCCTTATACATGTATATATATATATGTATGGATACACACGTACATGCTCAAATACTATTAGCTAACAATCGAAAAGAATAATTAAATTCGAACAAAGAGAAGATGTCGAGCTCATCCTTGACAGCAGCCCCCTTTGTCAAGTGTGGCCAATTTGGTGCAGGCCTCGTCAGGCAAAAATGGAACTCTAAGCTTTTTGTCCCTATGATCTCTGCAAGGCGCTTCCAGGTATATTTATTTATTTCTCTTACCCATTTTGCGTAAATACATATACTAACGTCCGCCATACACGTATATAAATATATGTCTTAATTGACCCAGGCAAGTTCACGGAAGGAGGCATCAACTGTACTCCAGGATGCAAAAAGCACTGCAGCTTCTGCTAAGAGATTTGCCGAAGATGCCAAGAACACAGCTTCTGAAAAAGTAATTAATATTACTTAATTAAGCACCTTGAAAATTAGTTATTATATAGTTAAATATTTAGTTATAAAACTTAATTTGTGGGTGATTAATTTAGGCAGGAGAAATAAATAAGAAGATGGGAGATATGAAAAAAGAAGATAGTGATAGTGGTCGGAAAATGGCTGAGAGTGCAGAAGATGTGAAGGAGAAGGCGAAGCAAACAGTGCAGGATGCATGGGGGACGGTGAAGGATACCACCCAGAAGATCAAGGAGACGGTGGTTAGCAAAGCTGAGGATTCCAAGGAATCAATCAAGCAAACTGCAGAGGCTGTCAAGAAAAGCATGAACCTTAAAAATTAATTAACCAACTAATTACCACATAATCAACAACGTCATCAAATATTTCTTTTCAATTTTTCTTTCTCTTTCTTTTTTGTTTCCTTGTTCAAAGTTGCAGCTCGTGAGTTAGCTTGCAATGGCATCCGCAATATTGCAGTGATGTGGAATGTCTGTAATGGGCTTCTTTTGTATTTAACCTTATTCATTTACGTGCGAATATAATGCACCGCCTATAACTATCCAATTCGTCCATTAATCTTCTAGATTCCTCCACTTAAATCTTGGATCAGAACGGGATAAAAATAAAAATGCCAAAATTGAAAAAGCATTGGCAGGACGGATACAAATTACAGAGAAGAAAAAATAAAAAATAAAAAGCGTGTCAGGACGAGATTACAGAGAAAGACGACGGTGGTTCCAGGCCACGTGAATAGCCACCATGTAACATAAAGGTCCAAGGTGGCGGTAATTGTACGGAAGCCAGAACCACAGCGGCAGGATTAAGCATCCTACTTGCATTTTAGAAGCCGACAGCACCTCGTCCTCGTGGCACAACACGACGCGTCTGTCATGCCCAAGATGAAACCAAGCTAGGTGACAGTAGCAGCATGACGTCTGCAACCAAAGAAAACGACAAGAAAGTGAAACGGAGGGGTTGTGGTAATTGGCGGGATTAGAACAAAGCGGGAGAGGAGGGTGACGTCGGGCTAGGAGGAAACACGTGGCGGCAAGACGTGAGGCCCGCCGCTTCGCCCACGAATCCGGACAAAGGCTGCGAGCGACAAACGTTAATTAAAGGGAGTCGGTTTTTTTCAATTTTTTTTAATAAAAAAAAAATTAATTTTTACATCAAAATTCTTCTCTCTCGAAACTAAAATAAAAGTGAAGAAGAACAAATTTATTTACTGGTAAATTGTTCACAAATTTATTATATAATTAAAAAATGGAATTGAAAATTTTATTTGCTACATGAAATGAATGGATCCTTCATGATTTTATTTTACTTTTTTCGCGGTCTTGTTTTGTTTCAGAAAGTTAATTTGTCATGAAGCAAATTCGTCATCTTCATCAAAGCAGGAAAACGGACGAACTGAAGTAATCATTTTAATGGGTGTTTTTTTCTTTCCTTTTTTTTTTTTTTTCTATTTAAATACATTTTAAGCTTGAATTTTAATTCGGAAATTAATTTTAGAGAAATTATTTTTGTTTAATTAAAAAAAGAAAAGGGCGAATCACCGCTTGGTTCACCATAGAGGAGCGGACGTATGGAGGGTGGCACAAAATCCGGAGAGAGGCCGAGAAAGCAGCAGCACGAGGCTTCGCTTAATTTCTTTTCGTTGCTAGTTTTTGAAAATTGAAACTGCCGTTTTAATTTCTTCTTTGTTTTTTTATAAACAATCACCTCGTTCAAAATATCTTCAAATTAAAACTGCCCTCTTTTTTTTTTTTTTTTAAATATCTCGGCTGTAATCAATTCCATAAAACTCCAAAAAAATTATAAAGAAAGAAAGAAAGAAAAAAAAAAAAAAAAAACACACCATTTGAACTTATCTACAGAAAAGGTCAAGTAGACAAATGAAACTCCGTGGAGATAACCAGAGCACACATGGGGGTTAAACTTTTCTTTTCTTCGTTTTTCTTGTCTTTGAGGGGATTTAAGCATGTGGGTTAGTCGCTTCCTACCGCTTGCCTTCCAGTTTATTAAGATCAACCCATCTCCTTTCATCTCTTCATCATTTGATCCCAATAAAAATTTTCCTCCACACTCTGCAACTGAATCAATTTTGTATGCTGGTGCTTTTTCTTTGTCGACGAAGATTGGAGTCTGGTAATGTTTGGATTGAAAGAAATTGTTAAAAAGTAAAAGATTGGGGGCAAAAGAAAGAAAAGAGCGAGAGAAGAAAGTCGCTTTCTTTTTTATTTTAAGGGTTTAAGTGAGTGCAATTGGGTATTTGTTGGAAGTGAAATTCACTGTTGCCGTTGATAGACTCATTCAGATGCTTTATGTTGCTTACTTGACGATTTTTGATATCAAAAGCGGGCCCTTTACATTTCTTGCTTCCTCAATCAGGTACACAATATCTTAGTACTTCTGCTCTTGCACTTATCCGTACGCCATCACTGGTCTTGTATTTTCTCTCTCTTCAATCTACCCGCAACCGCATCAGAAGAGTCTTCAACTTGTACCCTTTTATTTTTTATTTTCTATTTTATGAGAAAAAAATTAAGAACGGCTGAGAAAAAATGAAGGGTCTGCAACTGCATGGTGAAGATCTACATGCACAAGGGAGGACAGAGGCAAACCCATCTGATCATGTATTTTGTGGTGGTATAGACCCTGATCCAGAAAAAGAGATCTGGCTTCATCAGGGTGAGCAAGAAGAGGACTTGCTCGATGTTGACGGTGCTTCCATTTTCTATGGTGAGTTACCCGCTCTCCCTGATTTCCCTTGCATGTCATCTTCTTCGTCTTCTTCTTCAACTCCGGCGCCCGTCAAGGCTTTTGGTTCATCGTCCTCCTCGTCTTCAGCCTGTTCTTCGTCGTCCTCCTCTGCAGTTTCTTGGGCGGTTCTAAGATCCGAGACGGAAGAAGAGCGTGGGGAGAAGAGGAATCGTGACTACCATCTTCAACATCAGTATCAGAGTAACAGTCAGCAGAACGGGCAGTATCAGCATGATAATTCGGTGGATGCAGCACCGTCGGGAGCGCTGTCATCCACAGCCTCGATGGAGATCACTGACCAGATGATTGAAGGTGTGAATTGCATGGATGTGATGGAGACTTTCGGTTACATGGATCTGGTAGACAACAACGATTTCTTTGATCCATCTACCATATTTCACCACGACGACACTCCTCTCGAGGATTTTCAACTGCATGCAGCAGAGGAGCAGCTGCTGCAGGAGCAAGAGCAACCGCAGGGAACACATGGGGAGGACTTAATTCCTCAAGGTGATGATACAAAAGAAACCCATCAAGATCATGTTCAAGAGGGGGGAAATCCATCGGAAGATTTGGCGATGGTGTTTCTAGAGTGGCTCAAGTCCAATAAGGAGTCTGTCTCTGCCGAGGATTTGAGGAGGGTGAAGATCAAGAAGGCAACCATAGAGTGCGCAGCTAGGCGATTGGGCGGAGGCAAAGAGGCCATGAAACAGTTGTTGAAGCTCATTCTTGAATGGGTCCAAAAGAACCACCTTCAGAGAAGGAGGACCAACAATAATTCCCCTACTGCTAACAATGTCTGCTTTCAAGATCCCTTTCAGAACCCTAATTCTAACCCGTCTCCCCAAAACCCTAGTCTCGCCTGTAATCCTATCCAACCTGAACCAATTCCTTTCTCCCAACCTCAGTGGATCCCTCAACCGGGTTATGTGGCCGATACGGCCGGTCTCGTTCCTGGTTTCGCGCCCCCAGTTGTGGGGTATATTGGCGATCCGTTTGTTGGTGGGGCTTCTAATTGCATCCCTGGTCATCCTTATCCATCTCCCCAAGAGTATCACATGCTGGAACCTGCTCACTCGTGGCCAGCGCATCAGTTTGCGTTGGCTGCCAGTACCCAATACAACACATTTCCAGATAACAATATACACCAGCCTCCGGGTTATAATCCTGGGTACGGGAATCAATATGCGTATCAGTATGTTCAAGGCCATGGTGATCAAAGATTGGTGCGGCTATGTTCGTCTGCGACGAAGGAGGCAAGGAAGAAGAGGATGGCTAGGCAAAGAAGGTTCTTATCGCACCCCAGGACTCATAATAATCAGCAAAATAACCAGCAGAACCAGAATCAGAGTGGAGATCAGCAGCATGCAAGACTTGGCGGTAACGATAATTGCACCCCTGCCGCAGCCCCTCGGGGTAATTCGAATAACTGGGTATATTGGCCAGGGCCTGTCGCTACCGGAGCGGCTGCTCCAACCCAGCCTGTACTGCCTAATGACGCACCAATAGTGCACCAAGTGGAGCGGACTCCAGCAGTTCAAGGGCAATCGTTTCAGCGACAGGTGGCATCAGACAGGCGACAGGTGGGTGCTTACGTCGGTTGAATATTATTTTGCTGGCTCGTCCGTTGAATAATCATGAATTCATGATTACTAATCCTCATGTGTTGTGGATGCTCAAATTCGAGGTGTAGTCTAACTTTTTGAATGATGATGAGTTATTTTATTCTGCGGATGCATGTCTTTGATAATTAGGGATGGAAGCCTGAAAAGAACTTGCGGTTTCTCTTGCAAAAAGTTTTGAAGCAAAGCGATGTGGGTAATCTTGGAAGAATCGTGTTGCCGAAGGTAGTCTTTTCTTCCTGGTTTTTTATAATAGTGCCGGTTTTTTTTAAGGGTTTTCGTTCTAATGTCATCATTTCAATTTGGGTTGAATTTGAATGCACAGAAAGAAGCAGAAACGCATTTACCTGAACTAGAGGCAAGAGACGGGATTTCGATAGCCATGGAAGACATTGGGACCTCTCGTGTTTGGAACATGCGTTATAGGTATTTATTCCCACATAAGCTTAATTAATTGATCAATTAATCTCTTCAGTTTTTTCGCTTAACTCGTTAATAAATTATTTATTTCCCATTTATGCTTGCAAACTAAATCGTTTTGGGTTCCTTCCGTTCCCCACCTTTTTCTCTTGGAGTTTCAGATTCTGGCCCAACAACAAAAGCAGGATGTATCTTCTCGAAAACACAGGTAGGTTGATTATATTAGAAAATTAGGGCATACATACTATCTGTATCTCTCACTCTTAACTTAACTCCTTATAACTAAGCAAATCACCTCTTGTTATGCTTCAGGTGATTTCGTCAAAACCAACGGGCTCCAAGAAGGAGATTTCATTGTCATCTACTCTGATGTTAAGTGTGGCAAATATGTATGTAATTACGCTTTGTTTTCTCGTTCTTAGAATTTGGATATTGTAGCATGCACAGTGATCAAATTGCATTGGTGTAAATTACAGCTAATACGAGGAGTGAAAGTAAGGCAACCAGGGCAAAAATCAGAGACGAAGAGGCCTGGAAAATCACAGAGGAACGTGCATTCAAGTTCTCCATCTAGCACCGCCAATGGCTCCTCATCATCTCCCGCCACCACCACAACCACCGCCCAGCCTGTTAAGTGACGAGGCAAAAAGGCAAAAAAGAAACAAACTGAATCGGCAAATGAAATTTGAGGCTTTGTTATGATGAGTGGTCACAGAGACCAGTACTGTACAGTTCATTACAGCTGCATGGATGAAACTGTAAGAGGAGGAGTATTTCTTCTCCGATAAGACAATGCTTTGCGAGATCTGTTTTTTAAAGTAGATATACATATATACAACATAATATCATCATGGTTGGTATGTTATAATGATACTCTATATATATATATATATGTCACAGTGTAAAATATATTGTTGTGTTTACAAGGTGAAATTGCCCCTTGCCCTTCTAGTTTTTGTACTTGATATGGTATACTGTGTTTAAGGGCATTATTGTCATTGCCATTGTTGTTGTTATGTTATATTACTTGTGATGATATAAAATTACTTGTGTTTCTAGTTTTGCTTGTCTTATTGTATGTGTGTGTGCGTGTGTGTATATATATATATATATATATATGTATTTGTTAGATATATTTTCAATTTAACCTTGTAATGAAATCGTTAGTCTTATTTAATTGATAAAATAAGAGTTAAAAGAATAATGTGTCATCTACGAGTATTTTAGTAATGTATTAATCTTTAATATTGTAATAAATTTCTTTTTAATACAGTAAAAGTAATTATTGTCCTCAAACTAATTATTGTTTAGATTTTAATTAATTTATAAGAAATTAAAAAATTCTATAATTTTTTTCGCTCGTATGCTAATTTTTTTTTAGAATATTAATTCTAATAAAAATTTAATTAATAAATTAATTAAAAAAATTATAATGATTTTAAATGAAATAAAGAGTTGATTCACAAAAACAATTAATATAGTTCTTTATTTTTTTTTATTTATTTAAACTAATATATACAGATTACTCAAATATTTATAGAATAGATCTGGCCCAACAGTTCAAGAGGAAGAGCTCAGCCCAAAAGTATATGGGCTTGGACATTTTAACTGGGCTTATATATCACCAGATTATATCAACAGTCTATATAAAATTAAATATTATAAATATATTATTATCGGTTTATATTACACTTATAAAATAATAAATTTTATATCTAACGGCTGATTTATAAATATACTGCATTTAATTTGCTAATTGATGATGTGTTGAATTTTTATACTTTGATATTTAGAATTTGTAATTAGATTATTTTCCCTCGAGAAGAACTAAAATTTTTTGGCTCCATTATTTTTGAAGTGATTTCTAAAATGTCGAAAAAATAAAATTATGCAGTTTTAAAATAAATTTAAAAATATAAAACCTGTAATTTTTTTTTAATTATTAAATAGTTTAATTAGGCATAAGCAAGTGAAAAATATTTTGATGATTAAAAATTATTTAATGCAGTCGTCACTGTCTCTGTCTTTGTCTGCCCTAATTTCCTTGAGCATTGCTGCTACATCTTTCATGCTAGGCCTATCATCCGGGCAAGCATTTACACACAACGAAGCCACACCTAAAGTCTGCATCATCTCCTCCTTTTCGTTCTCCTGCAGATTACAACGCCCATCCAGCACTTCAATCCCTCGATTCTTTCTTACCCAGTCCACTATATGAACTCCTTCTGGTATTGTCGGATCAATTGGCTGCTTCCCTGTTAAAACTTCCAGCACCACAACTCCATAGCTGTACACATCACTCTTCTCTGTTATCTTCAACATGTATCCATACTCTGCAACAGGCCCATTTACATAAACATCATATATATATATATATATAATTTGAAACAATCTTAGACTTACATATATATAAAGACATACCAGGAGCAATGTAGCCATAGGAACCTGCGACAGTGTTGGAGGATCTTGCAAAATCTCCATCATCCACCAACTTGGCAAGTCCAAAATCAGCAATATAAGCTTCAAAGTTAGGACCAATGAGTATGTTGTTTGCTTTAATGTCTCTGTGAACAATGGGAGGAACACAGTCATGGTGCAAGTAAGCCAGACCTTGAGCTGCCCCTACAATTATTTTGTACCTCACCTCCCATTCCAGCCAACTCCTACTACTACTACTCCTTTCATGGAGGAGACTCCCTAAGCTTCCATTTTCCATATAATCATACATAAGCAGTCTTGTTCTCCTGTTCCAACAGCAACCCAGAAATCTAACAATGTTCTTGTGCCGAATAGACCCAAGTGTTTTCACTTCTGCAGAAAATGAATCACGAACTCCACCATATCCACTTTTCTCACTCTCATTTCCACCTCCCATTGTTGTTGGCCAAAGCTTCTTTACAGCAATTACTTCACCAGTTTCCAGTTCTGCACGATAAACAATCCCGGAACAACCTTTTCCTACTACATTTTTTTCTACCAGACATTTCAGGACTTGCTCTACTGTGAAATTCAGCTTTTGGAATGGAGTGAATTGCCAAGGCCATGAATCTCCTCCCATCTCGGAATCGTTATCATCTCCAACCATTTTTTTTGCTCTAAAAATTGCAATGCTCCCTAAGATTGCCATCAATGCTGTCAAGGAAACAAGCATTGCAATTGCTACTTTAAATTTCTTAGATTGTCTAAAATCATGACTATTTTGTCTAGCCATTACCGTGGAATTGCTGATGAAACAGGACTTTAGACCATTGGAGCATAATCTTCGATTTCCAGCCAGTTCTGTTGCTGACAATTGTCGGAACAATTTGTTGTCCGGGAGAGAGCCGGAGAAATTGTTGTATGAAATGTTGAGAGACACAAGGTCCTCTAGCCCGGAAAGGGAAAGTAAATCACCTTCAAGATTATTATGTGAAAGGTCTAGTATGGATAGCTTGTCTAGTGTAGAAATCTGAGGTGGGATAACCCCAGTGAGCGCATTCCAACTCAAATTTAGAGAAATATCTAGAGCTGCAATTTCAAAGAGTTGTTGTGGGATTGTTCCAGAGAGTTTGTTGCTGCTAAGATCAAGCAATTGAAGGCTTGAACAATGACCAAGAGAGGAAGGTATTGGTCCAGAGAGGGAGTTTTCACTAAGGATAAGTCTATTTAATGAAGTTAATTGACCAAAAGTTTCTGGAATCTGACCCTCAAATTGATTTACAGAAACATCTAATACCTGAAGTCGAGTTAGAAAAGAGAAGGAGGTAGGTAAAGTACCTTCAAGGGTGTTGTTGCTGAGGCTCAACATCTCCAATTGGGTGCAACTGCCTATCTCATCTGGGACTGACCCACTAAGATGATTTCCAGAGAGATCAAGGAAATTGAGGTTGCTGAGGAATCCAATTTCCTTGGGGATTTCTCTGCTGATTCTGTTATCAACAAGCCTTAATCTAACAAGGGAAGTACAGTTGCCAATCTCAGGAGGGATTGCACCAGAAATATCGTTAGAAATTAAGAGAAGCTTTGTCAAATTTTGAAGTTGAAACAGGCCAGGAGGCAGGTTGCCAGTCAGTGCATTGTGAGATAAATCAAGAGCTTCTAGGCTCTTGCAACCTGCGAATGAAGAGGGGATGCTTCCTTCAAGTCTATTCTGCCAGGCAAAGAAGACTGTTAGCTCAGTCAACAAGCCAATCTCCTCCGGAATGGAGCCTGCTATCTGATTGGTGTCAAGCTGCAGCTGCATTAGGCTTGTGGCATCGCCAAGAACTGCCGGGATAGAACCAGAAAGGTTATTGTTACTAAGCATAAGCTCTTCAAGTTTGGACAAGTTTCCAAAAGACTGAGGTATGCTTCCAGAGAAGTAATTCAGTGAAAGATCAATTGTCTTCAAGCTCTTGCAGTTCCCTATTTCTTCAGGGATGCTACCATCCAAGTTATTTTGCCATAGTAGCATTTTCTCCAACTTTTGAAGCTTACCCAACTCTCTTGGCAGTGAACCAGATAGATCATTCTCGTATAGAAACAAGAAAACAAGCTCTGAGCAGTTGCCAATATGTGGTGGAATCTGACCAGAAAGCATGGTGGTATACACAGACAAAGTTTGAAGTTTACTTAGTTTGCCCAATGAAACAGGGATTGAACCAGAGACTTTGGTGTCAGCAAGACCAAGCACCTTCAAGTTCTGGCAACCTCCAATCTCTTCTGGTATTTTCCCTGCAATGTCCTTGTTCCCCCCAGCTCGTATGACTTCAAGATTTGATAGTTTTCCTAGCTCGACAGGAAGACTCCCACTTAAGAAGTTATCGTATATGATGAGATTCTTGAGATTAATGCAATCACCAAGCTCTGGTGGAATCTCCCCTGTCAGCTTATTAGAGTTCAAAACCAAGTCCTGGAGATTCTTAAGCTTACCGATACTAGAAGGGATGCTACCAACAAGACTGTTTGAGCTTACATCGATGTATGTAAGCTCAATGCAGTCACCGATATCAGGTGGGATTGGTCCAGTGAGATTTGCACCAGAAATTATGAGCTTTTGAAGGAAGCGAAACGAGGAAAGATTGGAAGGGAAAGCAAGAGCTAACTCAATGAACTGGATATTGATCTGGGTTACATAGTTGTCAGAGGAACAATTGATGTAAGACCATTGACAAGGATTAAGATCTGAAGGGTTCCAAGTGGAGAAACCAGAAGGCAGTGAAGAAGAGTCCGAGCTGTGAATCCAAGAAAGCAGTGTGAGCACTTCACTGTTTGCAGAAGAAGAAGGAAGACATGAGAAAAATGGTGTGAAGAGGAAGAGAAGGCCATAGCAGAAAAGGTGGACGGTGAGAAATTCGCTGGGCATTGGATGGGGGTTGAAGCATTGCCTCGGCATCGGCATTGGCAAAATTTTTTTTTGCCTCAAATCCCAAACCAAGTTTCCTGGTTTTGCATTGGGTCTGTCTCTTTCTTTCTCTTCCTCTATGCTTGATTCTTACCCTTAATTAAACTCACCTTGCTTACTGTTTCTGCAATGACCAGTGTAGAATATGTACATATCTATATATAATCTGTATATTTTCTTTGCAGACAAGCATTAATATTAAAAGATTTAAGAGAGAAAACAATGACACAGCACCTCCACCAGCTTTGCCTCGGGGTTCTGTTTTCTTTCTGTATCTTTTTAATGTTGTATATTTGATAAATGCATGTCTTTCTTAATTAACATTACTGATTAGGGGATACACCATGTGTTTTTGCATTGCTTTCCTCAATATGGGCTGGTTTATTTTTGATAATTGAGCCACTCATTTTCAAGCCTACCCTATTACCTTTTTGGTATTTATTTATTTTTTGAAGAAAAATTAATTTGGTTTCAAAATTTTTCATAATGAAAGCTGCTTCCTGTAGTGTTTCCCATCATTGGAATCTCTCAAGCATTGCATGGAAAACTTGAATGGAGCTTCTGGGAGATGCCCATTTTAATACACCCCAACAAACCCATCAAATTTCCCTCTCTTACTTATATATATATATATATATATATATATATATTTATCTATTTTTGAGAATATGTGTTTATTGATTAGGGTTTTCAATTTCCAATACATGTTTGTTATGGCCAAAATTATTGTTAAAAGTCACAAAAACGAGAAACAATTCAAAAATGCATCACGGTTTACAAGATACAAGCATCATATTCTCTATGGAGAGATGCATTTCTGAAAGCAAAGCATATATATGTTGATGATTATCAGACTCTTACGAAATCCACATACACACACCCACTATACATCTATATGTGTGTGTATATCCAAACTTGATGTGGGTACTTTTTTAATCACTGTTTTATTGGGTTGAGTCTATGTTCTTTTCAATAAACTACTATGGACTATATATATATATATATGTTTTTTGAGGGATAATGCATATTACTTCTTCAAGGACAGAGACAATGGATACTTCATGAACTCAACCACTTTTGTTTCTTTTCTTGGTTGTTGTTATGTTTTTCTTCTTTCTTAACTAGGATATTGTTTTAAAAAAAGTTTAAGAAGAGATCACAATAAACCTTGAACTAATATATAAAAATACAGAGTAAACTTACTAAATATGAGACATTACTAATTAGCCAAAAAGAAAGTGACACACCACTAATTTTGAGGCTAAAACCATGTGGAAGCAGCACTAAGAATTTCAAATCAAACCTTCGACCTGTATCTAATTGGGTCATTTTATATTCAAAGATTCAACTAAAGGCAGTCTGCCCCATTGCCCAAAATTCTAGACTCTCTCCTTGGGAAACCTTCCCCTAAGGAATCTATGCACGTTATTTGGTTTTATTTTGTCAAACCTATAATCATACGTACCATTTTCTTCTGGCCCAAATTATGAAATATATAACATAAATCATTTATCAATTAATATCAATTATTAATTCATTTAAATAAGTTGTATGCATCAGTTTTTTGTTTTGGGCCGAAGCTCAGAAAGCATGCTTTGTGCAAGCCCAAGCCTAGATCACAAAAGTCATGAGAAATTGAGTTTAAGACTCATGTGGACCCTTGCCTCCCATTCTTTGTTTTGTGACCATGAGTTCTTCTGAGATTCTCTGTTCGTCTTGTTTGGATTAAAACCCACAAGTAATATAATTACAGGCAGAGTTTTCTTTTTCTAACTTATAAAAGTAGGAAAAATTATATGTCGGATGGATTCTTTGCTTGTGCTGAGAAACCCTTGTTCTGTTTCGCTTTCTTCTCCAAAATGTTACAAAACCCAGACTCCGGGTTTCACCCACTCCCTGTTTCTATCCCCAAACTCCATTTTGAGGTTAAGGGAGCAATCTTTAACGTCAAGACTCCAACTTGCTAAGCTCAGAACTGTAGTAAGACCTTGTCCAAAGCCAGTTGTTTACGCTGCTCAATCCAATTTCTTGAGAGGTTAGTTTTCAGTTGCCTCCGAGCTTCCAGGTTCTAGGTGTTTTTGTTTCCTTAACCTTGTTGAGATGTTTCGAGTTGGTAGGTTGTATTTCTTTTCTAACCATGAACTCTCAGTTGCCTCTCTTTTCGAAATGGATTGGTGGAAATTAAGCTCATAGCTGACTGATCGAAAGTTATCTGCTGATCCTTAGTGATGCTGTATTGTGGTATTGCTATTGGTGCTAAGTAGTCGAAACTGAATTTGATTATACTGATGGTGCCTTGTGCCTGTTTCCCCTCATTGAATGCAAAGACAATATATAATTTTACTAGAAAAATAGAATGTCTAAGAACACAAAACCTAGATCTTTTGGGGCTTAAATTAGATTAATCTTGGGTTAGAAAACTGTTTGAACCTCTACATGAACCTGTTTATGAATTCCCACACAAGAAACTATGGGCTGTACTTGTATTGTGGCTGGTGCTTTCATTCGATTGAGTTCCTCTTGGGTACTTTTTCTTCCTCTGTTTTCAGGCCATATATTCTTCTCATGTTGCTTGAGGTGCTTGGTGGCTTGGGTATGATATGCTAGCCTTTTTGCTTGGAAATGGAAGCATTCTAGTCATTGCATATACAGGCTGAGCTCACAGTGGAGAATTTGATTTTTATTCTCCCACCATAATAGGTGATAGGCTAGGTTGAAAGGCCTTGGGTACGGTATGCTAGCCTTTTTGCTTGGAAATGGAAGAATTCTAGTCATTGCATATACGCTCTGAGCTCACACTGGAGAACTTGGTTTTTATTCTCCCACCATGATAGGTGATAGGCTAGGTTGAAAGGCCTTCCGGGCCATTTCCCAAGATGTAGAGAATATTTTTAAGGTTAACTATTTGTGTGACTCTAAACTACAGAATATGAAGATAAGGTAATTTAACCTGTCAATTTCTGCCTCTATAAATTTGTGGAAGCCCCTTTCATCTTCTCAGGAAGGATTAAGGTAATGGTTGATAATGTTTCTGCTAGAAAACTCCACATTTGATTGGTGTTATATTCTATGTAGTAGAGTTCCAGA